GGGAGCAGCAGAGGGAGAGGGAGAAGCAGGCTCCCCGCCGAGCAGGGAGCCCAATGCAGGACTCGATCCCAGGACCCCGAGATTATGACCTGAGCCGAAGGCAGATGCTTAACGACTGAGCCATCCAGGCGTTCCCCCCTCCCACCATCATGCTATTTGGAGGGAGAGTCAAATGTGGAAATACAAATGTGCTGCTTTTAAACTGCCAAGACCTCTACAAGTAAGTTTTATTATTACCACGGTGCTAGAAGAAAAACATGCTAGGGCTCATGAAGCCTAGCAGTGGTTAATCTCATTTTTTAGTGCTTACTTTATACAGCTACTTGCATTCATTTGAATGCATTCAAATGTCATTTTGAGAGCTCGAAATGTGCTGTATCAGTTCTGCTCTAAACAAATCCAGGAGATGACCACTGAGATTCCAAATGCAGCAGGAAAGAGCAGTTCAGATCCACCTTTACTTACCCACACTTCATCAGTCTTGACATATGTATCAAGGTACTCCTTTAAAGACTTCATGAAAATTTACTTCTAGAAATAATGACACAAGTGATACACCATCCATAAGGTCAATTCAGGGACAAATCTGTGTTAACATTTTGAGCTCAACCTGCCTCACATAATCCACTTCTTTCACTCATTGTCTCTTCCACCAAACCTACCATGCAGGAAAACCTCTGACACACAAAGCTCCTGGAGATTTGGTCTTTGTGGCTGTGTCATCTAGACAGCTCTCTGAAATCTTGATTAGTTCGGGGATTTCAGGTCTTTAGCAAATTGGAGACCCTTACAAGGCTGAAATCATGTTGCATTTTATTTGGTGGATTAAGGTGAAACTAAGTAGAGCTGAGTGAAGAAAAGATGTCAGAAAACAGAGCCTAATAGGTAATGAGACACTGTGATGGTTAATTTTTTATGTTAACTTGGCTATGCTATGGTGCCCAATAGTTTGGCCAAACACTAGTCTAGATGTTGCTGTGAATGTATTTTTTAGGTGTGATTAACATTTAAATTAGTAGGCTTTGAGTAAAGCAGATTACATTCCTTAGTGTGTGGGGGCCCCATCTAATCAGTTGAAGGCTTTAAGAGCAAAGACCAGTTTTCCATAGGAGAAGAAATACAGCCTCAAGACTGCAAAATAGAAACCTTGCCTAAATTTCTCATTTATCTGACCAGCCTGGAATTTGGGCTCAAGATTGTAACATCAACTCTTACCTGAATTTCAAGCCTGCCAGCGTGCCCTACAGATTTCAGACTTGCCAGCCTCCACAATTGTGTGAGCCCATTACTTTTTTAAGATTTTAATTAATTAATTAATTAATTAATTAATTAATAGAACATGCAAGCAGGGGGAAGGGAGAGAATCTCAAGCAGACTCAACACTGAGCATGGAGCCTGATGTGGGGCTCAATCTCATGACCTGCACCGAAATCAAGAGTTGGATGCTAAACTGACTGAGCCATCCAGGCACCCCAAGTGAGCCAGTTTCTTACAATAAAGTGTATGCTTGTTTTCTCTCTCACCCCCCCCAAATAAAAGGGGGAAAGTAGATAATGTAATTCATTCCCTGTGTAGTCTTTTCAAACTTCACCTACTTCTAGTTTTCCAACATTTGCTTCTTGCATCCAAACTAAGTATATAACTTGAAATTCTGCAGGAACAGAATTCTATGTTCGAGATAACAAGTTCCTAAATAAAAGTTGTGTTTTTTTCCTTCCAAATTCTAATATTATCTTAAGGGTAATACTTTCTGATCTTAAATTATAGCCATTTACAGATTTCCTTAAAACCCATGCATGTGTTTTGGAAAGAAATCTAAAACTTGCTGTGTATAAATACTAGAGCAATAATTCATGTTCATTCTGGGAGGCCTAAGACACCACTTTTTTAAGAAAATTAAGACACAGAAAGAAACTAACATTTAGGAGATTGGCACACAGTTGTTTGAAAAGATTAAGAGGAATGCTCACTGTGGATGTAGTCTGATGTTTGCACACAAACCAATCAAGAACAAGCTGACCCAATTATCTAGCTATAACTGCGCTAGTCCCTTTGGGTGCAGAAGCCTGTGTTCTAATGAGAGAGACAAATCTAAAACATACTACATATTTATACCAATATTTTCAGGTTCACAAAACCTTTTGCCTCAGACCCATAAATAAAATAATAAAGTCAAAAAGTACAAAAAAGAAAGAAAGAAAGAAAGAAAGTAAGAGGTGAGCTGCTTGTTCAAGGTTGTAAGAGTGACCAGAGCAGGGCTCCACTGGTTTACTTAACTTTCCCACTGCGTTAGCCCTGCTCTTGGTGGCTCTGGAAGGTGCCATGGAGGACCACCTGAGAACAATTGCGAAGTCAAGTTTCCTACTTCCTCATTTTCTAGAATCCATGGATTATGCATGTGTTATCCATTTAAAAGCATTTGAGGGCGGACAGAGAATTGCTAAAAAAAAAAAAAACATATATACACAGACAGGGGGGTACTTCAGTTTCAGAAAATGTAAAATTAAAAAAAAAAAAAAAGATGTGCCTTAAAGACTACCTGTCACAAACATTACACGAAAATGATTACAAGGCTATAGAAATTCACAAGAGAAAATGCCAACATGACTGAACAAATCAAGACAGACTTTGTTGGGAAGCTGACACTCTATAGGTTGCATTTGGACAGGAAGAGAACAGGAGGAACCATCTAGGGGCAGCAACAGCATGAGCACATGTGTTAGAGTAGAAATGACAAACTGATTTTGGAAAACTTGAGAATTTTCCACATCTTCAAGTCCTGATTTCCTTTTGCTTAATACCTGCCTCAACTCATTTCTCTCTTCTTGCATTTTACTATGAGCAATCAGGAAGAAACAAACTCCTTTAAAACTTCCCTGAGAAATCTCCTCAGGTAAATACCCAATCTTATAGCTTGCAAGTTCGACCTTCCAGAAAACACTAGAACACTAGTTAAGCCAAGTTCTTTGCTATTTCATAACAAGGATCTCCTTTCTTACAGTTTCCAACAGCATGTTCTTCATTTCCATCTGAGATCTCACCAGAAAGATGTTCAACATCCATATTTCTAACATTCTGTTTCTGATTAGTTACATACTCTCTAAGAAGATAGAGTCTATCCCTGAAGCTCTCGCTTTTATTTCTGAACACTTACCAGAATCACCTTCAACATCTATTATTTCTACCAACAGTCCCTTCACAGCAATGTGGACTTTTCCCAGCATGCCCCTCAAAACTCCTCCAACCTCTACCCCTTCCCCAATTCTAAAGCTGCTTTGACATTTTTAGGTATTTGTCACAGCAGCATCCTCCTTCTTGGTACCAAAATCAGAGAGGAAAATGAATGAAATGATGTTTATTTTTTTTTTAAAGATTATTTATTTATTTATTTGAGAGAGAGAGCCCACGAGTGAGAGAGAGCAGGGAGGAGCAGAGGGAGAGAGAGAGAATCTCAAGCAGACTACCTGCTGAGCGGGGAGCCTCAGTCGGGGATACATCTCAGGATCCTGAGATCATGACCTGAGCCAAAATCAAGAATCGTATCCTCAGCCCGGTGAGCCACCCAGGCGCCCCTGAAATGATCTTTATTGAAAAAATATAAAATTACATGAATAGGAAAAAGATCTGATTAGTAATCCCAGAAAACATATAGGCGTGAAAAAAAGACATGAAACTAAAAGAATTAACTCTAGAATGTCCAAAGTTAAAGAATTAATAAACTGGAAGAAAGAACTGAGAATTTTACTCAGGATGCAGTATAAAGAGAAAAATTGAAAGAGTTGTTTATATGGAGTGTCCTTTGAGAATCACCGTTTCATAAAATTTTAGTGGATTCTAGTAAAAGATAATAGAGGGATAGTGCAGCAAATTAGTCAAAGATATAATAGCTGAGAAATTTTAATATATATAAATAAAAATTGATAGAGAAAATACTAAACTTTAATTATCAATCCAACAAAAATTAGCCTGCATGAATAAACTAGGCAAGCCTCTAGAAAGTTTGATCAAGGTAGATGTGTACACACATAAAAATTAGGAAAGGAAGAAAAAAGAAACCAGGAGAAATCTCTGATGAAAGAAAAATACAAAATAAGGTGGTCAGTGTAACTCAAAGTACATTGTAACGACAATAAATGTAAATAGATTAAATCACTCTATTAAAAATCAGAAATTATCAGCATGGATATAAAAAAATCAGTTATATGCTGCTTATAAGGCACACTGCTATACACACATGCACACAAACACACTCTGAAACAGAAAATATAAAAAGGAAAAAAAAGAAATATACTAAGCATATATGAACCAAAAAAGAGCTGGTGCAACAATATCTGTCAAAATAGAATATGAAGTCAACACATTAATGTGAATAAAGCAAATAAGCTATACTTCATGAAAAGGCTATAGAAGTGATAAATTTGTATTTGCCTAACAATATAGAGTTAAACTCTAAAACACCAAAAGCCAACAACTACAAAAATTCAGAATTACAAAATAAAATTGAAAAGCTCATGTAAGCATAATGGCAAAATTTAACACCTCTTTCAGAAACCACATATTTGGAGAATATACAGAGAATCTGAGGAACGCATAGGACATAATTGTGAATTTACATATGCCTGCACCCAAAAGACAACACAACAGAGGATACACATTCTCCTAAAGCATGCATGCAACACATTAGATATGTATAAAATTAACTGTATACTCTCAGTCACAAAAAGTCATAGTTATTCAAACCATATTATCTAATTACTATGTAATTTATTTAGAAATTAACTACTACCACTAGTAATTAAAATCCTATAGGTTAGAAAATCTGAAAAAAACAAAAGCTTAAACAATGAGTAAGTGAAAAAATACTTCACAAAGAGAATCATAAACTGTAATGGTTTTATCAACAAACTAAAATATGAAAAATTTGTGAGATATAGATAAAGCAGTACTTAGAAGTTATGAATAGTCTTATTAAATATATTTACTAAATTTAAATGAGCTAGCATTTAATCCAAGAAGCTAGATGAAGAAGTGAAAACAGTAAGAAAGTTGAAGCAATAGAATGGTAAAAGCAAAACACAAATTAATAACCTAGGAAAAAACATTAATGGAGATGATTTTTAAAATCTATTTCTTTGAAAGCTAATAAACTAGGCAAGCCTCTAGAAAGTTTGATCAAGGTAGATGTGTACACACATAAATGCATTATCATATAATGGAATACTAGACGGAGTGAACCAGGTCATCCATACAGAGGAATCACAAAACCTATGGTAAAAAGATAAAATTGCTGAATGATAAGAATTTCTGTAGTTTACTTATTCATTTAACAATGTTTTGTATGTTTATATATACAAATTGTGTGTGTGTGTGTGTATGCATGGGTATGTTGTGGATATTTATGTAATAAAGTCACCTCTAACATTTTCTTAAGAAGTGTAAAGCACGTGGTGAAATGTTAGCATTTTTAAATCTTTCAAGAAATTAAATTAATATATGTGTGCTTGGAGTTTCTTTTTACCCCCTTTACTCAATCCCATTCTTTCCTTCCACAGAGGTAATCACTATCCTGAAGACGGTGTTGTTTTGTTTTTTCTTTCCCAACTAGTTTTATATTTTTACATTTTGGAAAAACTCCCATTCTTACAAAGCAGTTTCGCTTTTTCCATTTTAGGAAATTACAACTTTCCTTTGACAGTTTGGTTTTCTAGTTGTTTCTTTTATTTGACAAAGGAATGATACCATTTTTTAAAGATTAAGCCAACTAAATTAATACTGACATTTAGGCCAAGGACCATAAGGAAGCCAATTTTTTCTTAGCACCAATTATGTTGTGGGTAAGTAAAACAAAACAAAACTGGAAAATAGAGTCACCATCCACTATAAATCTTCAGAGTATTACTGGCCCATTCGGCTTAAGCATAGAAAGAATTACAGAAAAATATAAAAGGCATCGTTCAGTGCTCTCTGAAAAGAAGTGGCTTCTTGTACTAATATATATTCCATTCACCAAATTCTTACATGTTGCTTTTGTGGAATAAACATTGAGTGATTATATATATATCCCACTTAATTTATCATGGTAATTAATCCCAACCATCCATGATATTAATTTGCTGATATTGGTAGCCTGTGAGTCGCTTTCTTTCTGGAATAAAATAGGAGAGTCATTCTAAGTACCTTTATTTTACTTCTGGAGATGTTTAACCTTAACTACATCACTAAGTGCAGATTGACTGATGACTACACACATCTTACTCCCAGGTACGGTAAAGGCCAATATCAGAATGTCTAATTGCCTTTTATTCATTCTAGATTAGGCAATTAAGTTCTTTTACAGTTTATCAGAGTTCCTAGGATCTTTTCCTCAAATTTAAGAAATAAATTGTTATTCTCAAGGAGACATTATGCTTGAGTCTCCTGAAGGAAATACTAACATTTATTAACCATTTTCCTAGGTCAGGAATCTCTTGAGTTGCCATTGACAAATAAGTTCAATTTCAGCTTTTCTTTACCTTCTGGTATTTCTAGCTCCTCTTCTTTTCAATTTTTTTTTTTTTTAATATCTTCCTTGGCTTAAAAACTCACAGATGCATTGCCCAGCCATGTTTTTTTGCCCCTTTTATTCTGGATTGTTGATATTTAGAAGAAATTTAATACAAAAATGCAATTATTCCCAAATGCATCACACCGATATCAGATTTTTTACATAATGAATAAAAATAATATATCCCAGAACTTGTGAATAAGGCTGTGAAGTCATATCTAAAAAAATTGGTCAAACTGATGATGTCTTATTGCCACCCATTGAAATTCCATATGTGCTGTATTCTACCTCTTCAGTTTTAAAACTTGCAGTTGCTACCAATGTGTATAAAATCTCTACACCCTTCGAAAATTGAACATATTCATTCATATTTTTTTGAGTAGAAATTTAGCCAGGCATTAAAAGTAATATAAAACTAACACAAGATACAGTTGTTTACCACAGGAATTTGGATTTGCTGAATAATGTATGAACACACTGGCATAATTCCCGACGGTGCAAAGCAGCATACGAGCCAATGTCTAGTAGGGGCAAGCGCTCATGTAAAGAACAATTAATTTGAGATCAGGAAGGCTTTGTGAAATTCTGGGAGTGGAGAACCCAGATGGCTACCTAGTTAGTGGGTGGAAACGTAGAGACCAAGGAGAGGTGAGGATTATAGTTAGAAAAGTGAGTGTGACTTATTCAGGGGCCAGTAACGTTTCTGACCTAGCTAAAGCAAAGGATCTACAATGGGAAAGAGTGAAGACAAAATTGATTACTAGAGCAGGTTGCATTGTGGAGGATCTAAAAAAGGACATTTTTTTCTGAAAAAAAAAAAAATTCAAAGATCTATTGATGGCTTCTTAGCAGGTGAGTGAAATGGTAAAATCTGTGAGTTAAGAAGAAATAAATTCAGAGCGATGTTTATTAATGTATGTTCCCAGGATCATTAATTAATGGGGTTACTCCAAAAGGGCCAAGCAATGTCAAATAAGTGTGGAAAAAACTGGAGCATTTGACTTCAAAAGGAAAATACAGAATTTCCCTAACCTATTTGACCAGGGAACCCTTTCTAGGAAAACTGTGCTTGGATCATATATTCTATATATATTGATACCAACCTCAATGTATACATTGACATATGTAATAAATGTCCAATTCTGTGTTTTTAAATAGCTCGCTTGGTGTCTAGTTTGATTCTCTGTTCCCAGATTGGTAGAAATTCAGGATCTCTTAATTTCCCCCAGGAGTGTGTCTATGTTCTGGAGTCTTCTAGTGCCAGGGAGTTAGAAGGCTATGAAATGGCGAGGTGGCACTTATCTGCTGCTTTGGGTCATTGATGTATACTAGCATCTGCTGAGATGTCCTCACTGTTCTCTGGTCCTGGGGAATTGGTCAGTACTACTGTTGTTGAGACATGTCTTTCAAACCTGGTGGCTCTCTGTAGTTCTTCCATACTATTCTGGAATTGATGGGAATACTTTTCTTACTGATCTGTTCCATGCTGAGGTATAAGAAACTCTATGTGGACCCACAGGGGCCCCGTCTTTCTTAGACAAGTCAATTAGCTATTCTGTGAGGCCTTCCTGCTTTCTTTTGGCTTCTATCCAGGAAAAGGGGCAGATGTCCCATGTACCTAATGATTTTGGGCTTTTCCCATGAGATTTCCACCTAAATCTTCTACTCTATGCCATGAGTAAGTTTTGTTTCCTAGAAAGCTAAATTTTTAAAACTCATAAGCAACAAAGGGCTCCCTTTTCCTCATATTCTCCTATAGCTTCTATTCCCTGAGGAAGTGATTTAGTTGTCCGTAAGACAGCTTAAGACCGGGACAAGGATAGAGGCAAAGAATACCTGAGGTAAAAAATCAGTTACTATTTCAAAGATACTTCCTACCACACTTTGAATGCCTTTTAGGAAATGCTGATTATAATCCACTGAGGATTAAAAGCCGATGAATAAAAGGATGTGTGTAGTAGTGGTGCTGCCTTGAGCTTTGATTATCATGTGTGGTCTTAATAAATAATGAATGCCTCCTTGTCTTGTAAATCACTGTCTTTGGCATGGTGCTTTGCACAGTCCTCTCCCACATTAACTCTTGAAAAGCCTTTCTTGCTTCTGGCAACTCTTCCTCCACCATATGCAGGACAGGCTAGCTCGTTGAAGACATGGGGACCAGCTGAGAGCCAACACCAATAAACAGACTCCTAGGTTAGCTCCAGATGAGCTGCCAGCTGACTGCAGGTGCTCAAGTGACCTCAGCTGAGACCAGAACTGCTCAGATGAGCCTCCACTGAAGTGTTGATATGAATCATAAACAAGTAAAATGGTTGTCTAACCCACTGAGTGATGGAATTACTTTTATTGCATCAGTATAAAAATATGCAATACACTACAATGCAACAAAGTACATAATATGAGATGGTAGGTATTGAAGACAGAGGAGATACTTTGTGGGAAGATTTCCTCAATATGGATAATATGAGATGAGGCAAAAGAAAAATTCTAATGGGATGAGCAAGTTCCTTGGAAGGGGCTCATTTTTCATTCATTGGAAAAACAGTTCATTTTATTTTCTATTTTATAGGAACTAAAGAAAACGGAAGAGTCAAGTGTCATTATGTAGATGGTACTCTTCAGTGACTTAGAAAACTGTAGACAAGTAGCTGGGTGGAACCATGCCAGATGGGGTCTTCGTATCATTCTGCCGTTGTGCCTTTTTGTAAATCACTCTCACTCTCACTGGCTTGGATTCAAGAGGTGGATTTCCTGACACTACTGAAATGAAAAATAAACAGTTGTCTTATATAAGCATATTCTCAGACATTACACTAGATTTATCTTAATTCCTGATGACATGTATTTTCCTAAAGATTTCCTCAAAGCAATGACAAAACCGTCATAAAACCAAGAAATGTCAAAAATATAGAGGGATTGATGAGATGTGTCTCCAAGTTCTGAATCGAAAGTCTATTATAAGGTGGACTGCTACGAGTTAGCTGTGATTAGCTAGGCTCAAATATACTAGCTCTAGTCTCAGGGGCACTTCTCCTAGTCCTATTAATGGCTTTTTTTTGAAATTTATTTTACATCCATCACCTTATTTAATCTTTACAACAATTCTAAGATTTAGACAATATTTTTATCCACAATTTTAGAGAGAAAGAACTGATGCCAGTTCTTTTCAACCCAGTTCAAAGGACACTGGAATCCTGTGGTGCCTCAAGAGCCCCTGAGCCAAAAGAGGAGGGAGGGGAAGAAAGGCCACTTGCTCTGGCTTCAACCAGAGCACATCTAATATACATAACTATACACATTGTGTTTAAAAATTAGATATTCTAAATTTCTAATTATATATTATATATATAACTAAACATATATGTATGATATGACATATATATATGGCACCCATTCAAATTTGGTTAGAGAAATTCCCAAACACTGTAGCATACCATGATGAGTCCTAATGCCCTTATGATCTACACTAGAAACTTCTTGAAGTTAGAGACCTCATCTTATCCTTTCTTTGGTCTCACAACAGTGTGGAACCTCCCTTGACCTGTGAGCCAGCCTTCGGAAGAAGGAGCCCATGGAAATCCTTGCCCTGGCGATGCTCTGGGCTCCAGAACAGCTCTGTCTAAGCATCTCCCATGACCCCTGGCAACCTTGCTGTCTGCTTCTCACTAAAGCCAATTAAATTACTCCCGGTACCTGCAGCCTTCTCGCTGTTACCACGACTCATTGAGTTCTCGCCAAAGAGGGAAGTGATGTCTTCTCCAAATATCCTGAGGCAATTTTCAATGAGAAATTGTACAAGAGAAATCTGTAACACAAAAAGACAAGAATGGGGTGCTCTTTTCCATAGGGCATAGTTATAAATCACATTTTCTATACAGACCTTGGATCTAAGAAAAAATGGGAAGGACTTCCCAGTAAAATTCAGACTTGATAAAAATACGTAGAAACCAGGGGCACCTGGGTGGCTCAGTCGGTAAAGCGTCTGCCTTCGGCTCAGGTCATGAAAGCAGGGTGCTGGGATCAGCCCTACATCACGCTCCCTGCTCAGCGGGAACCCTGCTTCTCCCTCTCCCACTCCCCCTGCTTGTGTTCCCTCTCTCGCTGTGTCTCTCTCAGTCAAGTAAATAAATAAAAGCTTAAGAAAAAACCAAAAAAACAAAAACACATAGAAACCAGAGTTCTCTCAGAAATAACTTAGAAAGAGTGATACTTTCCCGTGTACTTTGGGTATACATTTTAAAATACTGCTCATCCGTGGGCTAAAGTTATAATGCGTGGCCTAGGTTAAGAGCTAACATTTTGGGATCAGTGGTTACATCTTTAAGCCTAGGATAAATTTGGGGGCCCATCAGTTGAGCGTCTGACTCTTGATTTCGGCTCAGATCACAATCTCATGGTGGTGAGATCCAGCTCCACATGGAGCCAACTTTGGGCTCCGTGCTCAGCAGGGAATCGGCTTGGGCTTCTCCCTCTCCCTCTCCCTCTTCTTCTGCCCCTGCCCCTCTCACACTCTCTCTTTCCCTCTCTCAAATAAATACATATCAAAAAAATAAATAAAACTAGGATAATTTTCAAAGTAGCCTACCTTATTAAAGTTTATTTATTTTTTGCTTTTAAATTTTGTTTCCAGTTTTACTGAGCTGTAACTGATGTATACCATCTTATGAAACTTTATAAAGTATGAACGACAACTTAAGAAAACCATTTCTTAAATGAAGAAGTATCATAAAGTTGGGAAGCAGGGATTTTGGTGGTGTTGTGAGGGAAAACCCACACAGCTGGAGAGAAAACGTATCTGTCTGTCTAACTTCAGTCCCTTCTCACGCATTGCTTTGCCTCATGCTGGCTCTCTCTGGGTGAGCTTGGGGAAGACCTGTCATCTTATTAGGATATTCTGGAATCTCTTGCTAGTTTCCATATGACGTAGCAGAGGTGAAATAGTAGCCGAGTACTTTTCTAGATGAGCCACAATTGGCAGAGGAAGGCCAATGTGTTTGGAGGCATGGGGGCTCATATTGCCCAAGCCACCCAGGATGTGCCAGTGATGACCGGAGGAGCTGGCTGTTGTCGCCATTGTGTAGTGAGGAAACCATGGCTTTGCCCAAGGTTACGAGTCCCTCAGGGATTAGGCTGAGAGTTGAACCTTGACTGGTGAAGTTCCAAAGCCCAGGTTCTTTCCTATCGTATCACACGACTCTTCTCTCTCTCGTTTAGTCAGTCTAGTGTTTAGTCTCCTGGAGGGGGAAGAAGTGACTCGACTGCTCCGAGTTTCCCGTTTAACGACACCCCTTCCCAGACCCCGCCAGAGTAGGATAAAGAACTCTGCCACTCCACAGGGGCCTAATGAAAATGTGCACTTCACAAAGTTCCATCCGTCAGAGTTACTACTGCACTTGTCTGGTTCAAAGTAGGGATTCTACCCCCTGGGGGACAAAAATGAGAGCTCTCATTACCTTTCTTATCAAGTTGTCTTCCAATTCCAAGCTGCCGGAATCAGGTGGGTAAAGAACACTTGGGGCTATACAAACGGATAAATTATAAGCTGTCATCTGATTGGATGAGGAATGTAGCTCAATGTTGTATAGCACTCCAAAAAGGTATCGCAAGAGAACAACATTTGCTCTTGGCAGCTGGCCTAAAAGCCTAAGGTCAGAAAAACACACTTTTAAATTAGGCAAGTAATTCCACTTAAGAGGTTGGAAAAACAGAGACAGGGAACAGGATACATCCTTGTATATCTAGCACACAACCCGCTCTAGCAGAGTTCCAGGCATGAAGGTATACAAAATTGTTGCACTGAATTCAGTTCCTGAGCCAGATAACAACTTCTCTGCTTAGTTAAATGTTTCACAGACTTTTAAGGTCATAGCCCTGGAAGTCAATGCTCTAGCATCTGTCTTGGACCAGGGAATTTCGTCTACCAGTTTCATGGATCCAGAAGGGGTAAAATGGCCAAGGAGTCCACATTAATAAGATCAGGAGAAGAACAATAATAGCCCTAAAGCATGCCTCTATTCTGAAGCTGGACCCCATGGGTGTGAAGAATTGAAACTCTTTGGCGTTGGTCATGATTTTAGTAGGCAAAGCTGCAAAACGTAAGCCAATGTTTTCCTGATAGTATGTTGGGTGTATTTTGGAGATGTGACCAGAGTAGAGTAATTATGGCATCATTACCTCTGGGCTGCAGTTATCTTCTCCTCTTTGTTGCCTTGATCAATAACACTGAGCCATTTGTCATAGAGATCGGATAAAAATATACTTCCTTGGATATTTCTAAGAAAGTCCTTATGGAGATAAAAAAATATGTATATATATTATAGAAAATATTTATTGGAAATATTCCAGAGAAAATATGTAGTTAAAAAATTCAGTTCAGCCCCCACTTCCTTCACAGATACCCAAACTGGGACCCACACGGAGCTCGGCTTCGACTTTCCATTGACTTGCTCACGCAGGAGCAGGTGCTTGGATTTTCTCCCGCTAAAACTTAGAGGCATAAAAGCAGAGCTTAGCCTGTGGTGGAAATGAAGATAAAGCTCCCTTCTATCATCTGGAACTTATTTTGTGTGAGTGCTTTTTTTTTTGCAAAGTACCACAAACTGACAGGGTCTGGCTATAGACCATCCTAAATCCTATTAGCTTCCTGGACAGAAATACACATACCCATGTTGCTTGTTTTAGACAAGGTGCTAGCTCTTAATTCTAGCAAGAAAAGTCCTGAAACAATCAAAACACAAACAGGTGGGCTCTTGCACACATATTAGGAAAGAACTAGGTCTTCTCACTCGGGGTAGGTGTGCTCCCTGGAAGAAAGCTACTCTCACAATTGCTTCATTCTTCCTTTTCTTAACTGTCTAAAAGTCGAGAGTCTAATGGCAGACTCACTGTGGTCCTGAGGATAGATTCATTTCTAGTTTAGGACAATTGTCCAGTTAGTTTGCCATGATATTATCAAGGCCAAGGTTGCAGAGTCTGATTCTCCACCAAGATCCGTCAACTTCAGGAAGAGAAAACTTTAGAAATGTCTAAGCACCATACCCACAAGTGCACACCCTCTTCCTAGTTGGTGCTGATAACACAGAATCAGGAAGGAACCTCCTAACTCTTGCTAAAAAATCGATTCCATGTGTGCACCTTACAGAGGGCAACACTCATCTTGCTACCTAGTGTATCATCATTCTTCTCCTGTCTCCCAATGCCTACATGTATATTACTACTGGATATCACTATGGCCCCAGAGTAGGAGTGGTTACCTAAGTCATTTGCTATTTATCACATCTTCGAACATTAACGGGGGACAAGGGAAGACCAAATGTGACTGAGATTCAAAGACTGTACTCATTACTACATTAACATAGGGTTGTTCAGAGCTGTTAATTAGTGCCAAGGTGGATGGATTAAATTTTTTCCCTGCTCCATTTCTTTTGGAAACTTTGCCATCATTAGCAGGGTGGTGAGGATGTCTGTTTCGGTAAACAGTGTGTTTGTGTCAGTGCGTATTTTGAAATTTATTATCATGACTAGTAGTCATTTCAGTATTAGTATTTTGCATGGAGTCTTCAGGAGTGGAGGTGGGGAGGGCGGTGTGTAGTGAAAACAGAAAGTATTTCTAACACATGGGGCTTTTAACTCCTAAAGTAGCTTCCTTAAATTTTGATTTTGTCAAGCATTTTCAGCTTGTCAGGTTCTTAATCTGTTATGTCCATTACAGTTCTTGAGCAGTCATGATGAAGGACACCAATCATAGCTTCAGTTACTCACGTGTGGATAATGCTAGAACCTTCCCCTACCTTGAAGACGGATGCGACCACATGAACAGATTCGCTGTACGGGTTCACTTTGACCCCAGAATTTAGTTTTTTCTTTAGGACTCTGCAGGATTTTATATTGGCTGATTTGCGGAAGACGCCTTCTGTGAGTGGCCCTTTTTGATTAATAAAGGAAAGCATATCCTGTAGGAAGAAAAGAAAAGTATATGGCATCTCATATCCACAAACGCAGAGCACAAGCTTGCCTCCGTTTTGAAAGAGGAGGGGAATGTAATGGTACACTGTTTTTGAGCTGGAAGGACTAAAGTCAATTTAGATTGTTTTTTTTTTTCAGTGTCTCTCTATATACTTTCTACCGAAATATCTATTTTACAGTCATACACTGAAACATTTTAAACACTTCTTTTAATCAGATTTTCCTTTCCACTGAGTTTCCACTTTTAAATCAAACTTCTCTGCTTCAAAGCCTTTGGGGAATCACCATCTGTTTCCTACTTTAGCATTTCTTTCTCATTATTCCCTACATAGATGCTCTTCCCCAAGTATGGAAGTCTATTTAGGAAATACTCATTTCCCATTTGTTTATTTCTCTTTAAGTGACTGTATACTCCTTTCCTACTTGTTCTATTTCCTTCCCTCTTTTAAAGTCAGGCTCAGGAACTCTCTTCTCCTTCTCTGATTACCCTCCCTTCTCATGAGTCTTTCATTGTCTTTTGCTGTATCTTCATGTCCTCTCCCTGCTGTGTAGAATCTTAATAAGGGCTGGACTCAGGGAATCCAACGGATCTGAAGTCTATTATGCTACTTATCTATTGTGTGAGCTGGGGCACACGCATCCTGTACTGAGGCTTTTCTGATTCGTTTAGGCAGTGCGGAGGATGATAATCCTAGCTAGCCCCTAAATTTGCTGTGATGCATGGACCTGGGGTAGTAGCTAGCAGGTAACATGCTAGCTAAGGTGATATATTTCTTCATAGCTAGCGGAACGTTCCCTACATCCTGTACAGTACTTGCAGAGATACCGAATACTCAGTGAATGTACACACTGACAATTCACTACAGCAGTTTGAGATAACACCGGCCAAACTCTGTGGCTTTCATTTGACATACTCTGTTAGGATTAACAGATTCCTATTTGCCAGAGGATGAGTCTATGCTCGTGTCAGATGTTTGCAGTTGTTAGACTGAGTAGACTCTGCTGAAGGAGACTTGAGACTCATGTGAGGAGGAAGGCAATGAAGGGAGAGTGTGAAGATGAGGTGGACTCTCAGAGATTCACATACACAGAGTCCATTTTGACTCATCTGAACAGGCCTCCATGGGTCTTTGTGGAAACAAGACAGAAGTGGAATGGACAAGAATGTCTTTTCCTTTTGTATTTGCCTCATGAGTCTGCTGGACCTAAATCAGATTCTGTTCTTTGAAATAACAGTAACAGAGCTCCTCTTCCAAAGCCAGGGACTATGTAATGACGTCTCCATTTGGGGATAGATTTGGATGAGGACGCTTGGCCTTTCAGTTTCCGCTCCTCAGGAGGGCTATAGAAGACCAAAAGGAGATGACCTACCAGAATTGGAAAGGGCAGGTTGTCTTTATCACAGATATCCATGAGGGAAACTCCAAAGAGCTGTCCTGGCTTTGCGGAAGGTGGGGCTGTGCACTGGGTGAGCTGGCAAGTGCGGGAGCCCCACCAAAAGGCCCTGTCTCTGAAAAAATGGCTTTTCACAGTCTTCCGGCCGGAGTCTAAGAAGAAGAGAGAGTACTAGTAGTAGTAGTTGTTGTGTAATACGCTGAACCTTCTTTTTCCTTTTTTTTTTTTTTTTTTTATAGATTTTATTCATATTTTGACAGAGGGAGAGAGACAACGAGAGAGGGAACACAAGCAGGGGGAGGGGGAGAGGGAGAAGCAGGCTTCCCTCAGAGCAGGGAGCCCAACGCGGGGGTCGATTCCAGGACCCCCGGATCATGACCTGAGCTGAAGGCAGACGCTTAACAACTGAGCCACCCATGTGCTCCAGGCTCATCTTAATTCCTAATGACTTGTATTTTCCTATAGATTTCCTCAAAGCAATGTGGTAAGCATCATAAAACCAAGAAATGTCAGAAATATGGAGGGATTGATGATACGTGTCTCCAGGTTCTGAATCGAAAGTCTACCTTCTAAGGTGGACTGCTGCCAGGTAGCTGTGATTAGCTAGGCTCAAATCATACTACCTCTGGTGTCAGGAGCAGTTCTGCTACTCCTATTAATGGGTTTTTCTTGGATTACATCCATCATCTTATAGAGTGTTTACCACAATTCTAAGATTTAGACATTATTTTTATCTACATTTTAGAGATGAATAAACTGATGCTGAGCTGGAATAACTGGCCAAATATAATATACCTGGTAAATGGGGGCATAGGAATTTACACTCTGGAGAGGTTGTTTGACATCAAGTCAAGTCCTTTTTTCTCAATGATGCCAGTTCTTTTCAACCCGTTTCAAAGGGCACTGGATTCCTGTGGTGCCTCAAGAGCCCCTGAGCCGAAAGAGGAGGGAGGGGAAGAAAGGCCCCTTGCTCTGGCTTCAACCAGAGCACATCTTATATACATAAATATATATATTATGATTATATATTTATATAGAATAAGTATCTAATTATATATTATGTATATATAACTACATATATATGTATGATGTTATATATATATGTGTGTGTATATATATATATATAGAACCCATTTAGAATTTTGTTAGAAAAAATTCCCAAACACTGTAGCATACCATGAAGTGTCCTAATGCCCTTATGATCTACACTAGAAACTTCTTTAAGTCAGACATCTCATCTTGTCCTTTCTTTGGTCTCACAACAGTGTGGAACGTCCCCTGACCAGTGAGCCAGCCTTCGGAAGAAGGAGCACATGGAAATCCTTGCCCTGGCGATGCTCTGGGCTCCAGAACATCTCCCATGACCCCTGGCAACATTGCTGTCTGCTTCTCACTAAAGCCAATTAAATTACTCCCGGTACCTGCAGCCTTCTCGCTGTTACCACGACTCATTGAGTTCTCGCCCAAGAGGGAAGTGATGTCTTCTCCAAATATCCTGAGGCAATTTTCAATGAGAAATTGTACAAGACAAATCTGTAACACAAAAAGACAAGAATGGGGTGCTCTTATCCATAGGGCATAGTTAGAAATCACATTTTGTATACAGACCTTGGATCTAAGAAAAAATGGGAAGGACTTCTCAGAAAAATTCAGAGTTGATAAAAATACGTAGAAACCAGGGGCGCCTGGGTGGCTCAGTCGGTTAAGCGTCTGCGTTCGGCTCAGGTCATAATCCCAGGGTGCTGGGATCAGCCCTACATCGGGCTCCCTGCTCAGCGGGAAGCCTGCTTCTCCCTCTCCCACTCCCCCTGCTTGTGTTCCCTCTCTCGCTGTGACTCTCTCAGTCAAGTAAATAAATAAAAGTTTAAAAAAAACACAAAGAAACAGAAACACATAGAAACCAGAGTTCTCTCAGAAATAACTTAGAAGGAGTGATACTTTCCTGTGTACTTTGGGTACACATTTTAAAATACTGCCCATCCGTGGTCTAAAGTTATAATGCGTGGCCTAGTTTAAGAGCTAACATTTTGGGATCAGTGGTTATGTCTTTAAGCCTAGGATAAATTTCGGGGCCCCTCAGTTGGGCGTCGACTCTTGATTGTGGCGCAGATCACGATCTCATGGTGGTGCGAAGCAGCCCCACATGGAGCCAACTTTGGGCTCCGTGCTCAGCGGGGAATGGGCTTGGGCTTCTCCCTCTCCCTCTCCCTCTTCTTCTGCCCCTGCCCCGCTCACGCTCTCTCTTTCCCTCTCTCAAATAAATACATATCAAAAAATAAATTAAACAAGGATAATTTTCAAAGTAGCCTACCTTATTAAAGTTTACTTATTTTTTGCTTTTAAATTTTGTTTTCAGTTTTACTGAGCTGTAACTGATGTATACCATCTTATGAAACTTTATAAAGTATGAACGACAACTTAAGAAAACCATTTCTTAAATGAAGAAGTATCATAAAGTTGGGAAGCAGGGATTTTGGTGGGGTCGTGAGGGAAAACCCACACAGCAGGAGAGAAAACGTATCTGTCTGTCTAACTTCAGTCCCTTCTCACGCATTGCTTTGCCTCATGCTGGCTCTCTCTGGGTGAGCTTGGGGAAGACCTGTCATCTTATTAGGATATTCTGGAATCTCTTGCTAGTTTCCATATGACGGAGCAGAGGTGAAATAGTAGCCGAGTACTTTTCTAGATGAGCCACAATTGGCAGAGGAAGGCCAATGTGTTTGGAGGCATGGGGGCTCATATTGCCCAAGCCACCCAGGATGTGCCAGTGATGACCGGAGGAGCTGGCTGTTGTCGCCATTGTGTAGTGAGGAAACCATGGCTTTGCCCAAGGTTACGAGTCCTCAGGGATTAGGCTGAGAGTTGAACCTTGACTGGTGAAGCTCCAAAACCCAGGTTCTTTCCTATCGTATTACATGACTCTTCTCTCTCTCGTTTAGTCAGTCTAGTGTTTAGTCTCCTGGAGGGGGAAGAAGTGACTCGACTGCTCCGAGTTTCCCGTTTAACGACACCCCTTCCCAGACCCCGCCAGAGTAGGATAAAGAACTCTGCCACTCCACAGGGGCCTAATGAAAATCTGCACTTCACAAAGTTCCATCCGTCAGAGTTACTACTGCACATGTCCGGTTCAAAGTAGGGATTCTACCCCCTGGGGGACAAAAATGAGAGCTTTCATTACCTTTTTTATCAAGTTGTCTTCCAATTCCAAGGTGCCGGAATCAGGTGGGTAAAGAACGCTTGGGGCTATAGAAACGGATAAATTATAAGCTGTCATCTGATTGGATGAGGAATGTTGCTCAATGTTGTATAGCACTCCAAAAAGGTATCGCAAGAGAACAACATTTGCTCTTGGCAGCTGGGCTAAAAGCCTAAGGTCAGAAAAACACACTTTTAAATTAGGCAAGTGATTCCACTTAGGAGGTTGGAAAAACAGAGACAGGGAACAGGATACATCCTTGTATATCTAGCACACAACCCGCTCTAGCAGAGTTCCAGGCATGAATGTAGACAAAATTGTTTCACTGAATTCAGTCCCTGAGCCAGATAAACACTTCTCTGGTTAGTTAAATGTTTGACAGACTTTTAAGGTCATAGCCCTGGCAGTTGATGCTCTTGCATGTGTCTTGAACCAGGGAATTTTGTCTACCAGTTTCAAGGATCCAGAAGGTGTCAAATGGCCAAGGAGTCCAGATTAATAAGATCAGGAGAAGAACAATCATAGCCCTAAAGCGTGCCTCTATTCTGAAGTTGGGCCCCATGGGTGTGAAGAATTGAAATTCTTTGGCGTTGGTCATGATTATAGTGGGCAAAGCTGCAAAACGTAAGCCAATGTTTTCCTAATAGTATGTTGGGTGTATTTTGGAGATGTGACCAGAGTAGAGTAATTATGGCATCATTACCTCTGGGCTGCAGTTATCTTCTCCTCTTTGTTGCCTTGATCAATAACACCGAGCCATTTGTCATAGAGTTCAGATAAAAATATACTTCCGTGGATATTTCTAAGAAAATCCTTAGGGAGATAAAAAAAAAATATATATATATACATAAATATAAACTATAGAAAGTATGTATTGGAAATATTCCAGAGAAAATATGTAGTTAAAAAATTCAGTTCAGCCCCCACTTCCTTCACAGATACCCAAACTGGGACCCACGCAGAGTTCGGCTCTGACTCTCCATTGACTTGCACATGCAGGAGCAGGTGCTTGGATTTTCTCCCGCTAAAACTTAGAGGCATAAAAGCAGAGCTTAGCCTGTGGTGGAAATGAAGATAAAGCTCCCTTCTATCATCTGGAACTTATTTTGTGTGAGTGCTTTTTTTTTTGCAAAGTACCACAAACTGACAGGGTCTGGCTATAGACCATCCTAAATCCTATTAGCTTCCTGGACAGAAATACACATACCCATGTTGCTTGTTTTAGACAAGGTGCTAGCTCTTAACTCTAGCAAGAAAAGGCCTGAAACAATCAAAACACAAACAGGTGGGCTCTTGCACACATATTAGGAAAGAACTAGGTCTTCTCACTCGGGGTATGTGTGCTCCCTGGAAGAAAGCTACTCGCACAATTGCTTCATTCTTCCTTTTCTTAACTGTCTAAAAGTCGAGAGTCTAATGGCAGACTCACTGTGGTCCTGAGGATAGATTCATTTCTAGTTTAGGACAATTGTCCAGTTAGTTTGCCATGATATTATCAAGGCCAAGGTTGCAGAGTCTGATTCTCCACCAAGATCCGTCAACTTCAGGAAGAGAAAACTTTAGAAATGTCTAAGCACTCTCCCCACAAGTGCTCACCCTCTCCCTAGTCAGTGCTTATAACACGGAATCAGGAAAGAACCTCCTAACTCTTGCTAGAAAATCGATTCCATGTGTGCACCTTACAGAGGGCAACACTCATCTTGCTACCTAGTGTAGCATCATTCTTCTCCTGTCTCCTGATGCCTGTATGTATATTACTACTGGATATCACTATGGCCCCAGTGTAGGAGTGGTTACCTAAGTCATTTCTGGACCTTGCTATTGATCACATCTTCGAACATTAACGGGGGACAAGGGAAGACCATATGCGACTGACATTCTATGACTGTAGTAATTACTATGTTAACATAGGGTTGTTCAGAGCTGTTCATAAGTGCCAAGGTGGATGGATTAAATTCTTTCCCTGTTGTATTTCTTTTGGAAAGTTTGCCTTCATTAGGAGGGTGGTGAGGATGTTTTCATGGGTAAACTGTGTATGTATCGGTGTGTATTTTGAAATTTATTATCATGACTAATAGTCATTTCAGTATTAGTATTTTGCATGGAGTCTTTAGGAGTGAAGGTGGGGAGGGCGGTGTGTAGTGAAAACAGAAAGTATTTCTAACACATGGGGCTTTTAACTCCTAAAGTCGCTTCCTTAAATTTTAATTTTGTTAAGCGTTTTTCAGCTTGTCAGGTTCTTAATCTATTATGCCCATTATTGTTCTTGAGCAGGCTTGATGAAGGACTCCAGTCATAGCTTCAGTTACTCGTGTGTAGACACTGCTAGAACCTTCCCTACCTTTAAGACGGATGCGACCACATGAACAGATTCGCTGTATGGGTTCACTTTGACCCCAGAATTCAGTTTTTCCTTTAGGACATGGCAGGATTTTATATTGGCTGAGTTTCTGAATATGCCTTCTGTGAGGGGCCCTTTTTCATTAATAAAGGAAAGCATACCCTGTAGGAAGAAAAGAAAAGTATATGGCATTTCATATCCACAAACGCAGAGCACAAGCTTGCCTCCGTTTTGAAAGAGGAGGGGAATGTACTGGTACACTGTTTTAGAGCGGGAAGGACCAAAGTCAATTTAGATTATTTTTTTTTCAGTGTCTCTCTATATACTTTCTACCGAAATATCCATTTTACAGTCATACACTGAAACAATTTAAACAGTTCTTTTAATCAGATTTTCCTTTCCATTGAGTTTCCACTCTTAAATCAAACTTCTATGCTTCAAGGCCTTTGCGGAATCACCGTCTGTTTCCTACTTTACCATTCTTTTCTCATTATTCCCTTATGTAGATGCTCTTCCCCAAATATGGAAGTCTATTTAGCGAATACTCATTTCCCATTTGTTTATTTTTCTTTAAGTGACTCTATACTCCTTTCCTACTTGTTCTATTTCCTTCCCTCTTTTAAAGTCAGGCCCAGAAACTCTCTTCTCTTTCTCTGATTACCCTCCCTTCTCATGAGTCTTAAATTCTCTTTTGCTCTATCTTCATGTCCTCTCTCTGCTGTGTAGAATCTTAATAAGGGCTGGACTCAGGGAATAAAATGGATCTGAAGTCTATTATGCTACTTATCTATTGTGTGAGCTGGGGCACATACATCCTGTACTGAGGCTTTTCTGAATCGGTTAGGAAGTGTGGAGGATGATAATCCTAGCTAGCTCCTAAATTTGCTGTGATGCATGGACCTGGGGTAGTAGCTAGCAGGTAACAAAGTAGCTAATATGATACATTTCTTCTTAGCTAGCAGAACGTTCCCTACATCCCGTACAGTGCTTGCAGAGACACCGAATACTCAGTGAAGGTCCACACTGACAATTCACTACAGCAGTTTGAGATAACACAGGCCAAACTCTGTGGCTTTCATTTGACATATTCTGTTAGGATTAACAGATTCCTATTTGCCAGAGGATGAGTCCATGCTCATGTCAGATGTTTGCAGTTGTTAGACTGAGTAGACTCCACTGAAGGAGACTTGAGACTCATGTGAGTGCAGGAAGGCAATGAAGGGAGAGTGTGAAGATGAGGTGGACTCTCAGAGACTCACATACACAGAGTCCTTTTTGACTGATCTGAACAGGCTTCGTTGGGTCTTTGTGGAAACAAGACCCATGTGGAATGGATAAGAAAGACTTTTCCTGTTGTATTAGCCTCACGACTCTGCTGGACCTAAGTCAGATTCTGTTCCTTGAAATAACGGTAACAGAGCTTCTCAGCCAAAGCCAAGGGCTGTCTAATGACTTCTCCATTTGGGGATAGATTTGGATGAGGACACGTGGCCTCTCAGAGTTCCCCCTCCTCAGGAGGGCTGTAGAAGACCAAAAGGAGATGACCTACCAGAATTGGGAAGGGCAAGTTGTCTTTATCACACACATCCATGAGGGAAACTCCAAAGAGCTGTCCTGGCTTTGCGGAAGGTGGGGCTGTGCACTGGGTGTGCTGGGAAGTGCCGGAGCCCCACCAAAAGGCCCTGTCTCTGAAAAAATGGTTTTTCACAGTCTTCCGACCGGAGTCTAAAGAAGAAGAGAGAGTACTAGTAGTAGTAGTTGTTTTAATACGCTGAACCTTCTTTTTCCTTTTTTTTTTTTTTTTACACATTTTATTTATATTTTGACAGAGGGAGAGAGACAGCGAGAGAGGGAACACAAACAGGGGGAGGGGCAGAGGGAGAAGCAGGCTTCCCTCGGAGCAGGGAGGGAAGCCACCCAGGCGCCCCAGACTCATCTTAATTCCTGATGACTTGTATTTTCGTAAAGATTTCCTCAAAGCAATGTGGTAAGCATCATAAAACCAAGAAATGTCAGAAATATGGAGGGATTGATGATACGTGTCTCCAGGTTCTGAATCGAAAGTCTACCTTCTAAGGTGGACTGCTGCCAGGTAGCTGTGATTAGCTAGGCTCAAATCGTACTAGCTCTAGTCTCAGGGGCACTTCTCCTAGTCCTATTAATGGCTTTTTTTGGATTCCATCCATCATCTTATTTAGTCTTTACCACAATTCTAAGATTTAGACATTATTTTATCTACATTTTAGAGATCAATAAACTGATGCTGAGCCAAAAAACTGATCAAAGGTAATATAGCTGGTAAATGGGGGCACAGGAATTTACACTCTGGAGAGGTTTTTTGACATCAAGTCAAGTCCTTTTTTCTCAATGATGCCAGTTCTTTTCAACCTGTTTCAAAGGGCACTGGAATCCTGTGGTGCCTCAAGAGCCCCTGAGCCAAAAGAGGAGGGAGGGGAAGAAAGGCCCCTTGCTCTGGCTTCAACCAGAGCACATCTAATATACATAAATATATATATTATTGTTATATTTATATAGTATAAGTATCTAATTATATATTATATATATATATATAACTACATATATATGTATGGTGTTGTATATATATATATAGATATATAGCACCCATTTAAAATTTTGTTAGAAAAAATTCCCAAACACTGTAGCATACCATGATGAGTCCTAATGCCCTTATGATCTACACTAGAAACTTCTTGAAGTCAGACACCTCATCTTATCCTTTCTTTGGTCTCACAACAGTGTGGAACCTCCCTTGAACTGTGAGCCAGCCTTCGGAAGAAGGAGCCCATGGAAATCCTTGCCCTGGCGATGCTCTGGGCTCCAGAACAGCTGTGTCTAAGCATCTCCCATGACCCCTGGCAACCTTGCTGTCTGCTTCTCACTAAAGCCAATTAAATTACTCCCGGTACCTGCAGCCTTCTCGCTGTTACCACGACTCATTGAGTTCTCGCCCAAGAGGGAAGTGATGTCTTCTCCAAATATCCTGAGGCAATTTTCAATGAGAAATTGTACAAGACAAATCTGTAACACAAAAAGACAAGAATGGGGTGCTCTTTTCCATAGGGCATAGTTATAAATCGCATTTTCTATACAGACCTTGGATCTAAGAAAAAATGGGAAGGACTTCTCAGAAAAATTCAGAGTTGATAAAAATATGTAGAAACCAGGGGCGCCTGGGTGGCTCAGTCGGTTAAGCGTCTGCGTTCGGCTCAGGTCATGATACCAGGGTGCTGGGATCAGCCGTACATCAGGCTCCCTGCTCAGCGTGAAGCCTGCTTCTCCGTCTCCCACTCCCCCTGCTTGTGTTCCGTTTCTCGCTGTGTCTCTCTCAGTCAAGTAAATAAATAAAAGTTTAAAGAAAAAACAAAAAAACCCCAAAACACATAGAAACCAGAGTTCTCTCTGAAATAACTTAGAAAGAGTGATACTTTCCCGTGTACTTTGGATACACATTTTAAAATACTGCTCATCAGTGGGCTAAAGTTATAATGCGTGGCCTAGTTTAAGAGCTAACATTTTGGGATCAGTGGTTACATCTTTAAGCCTAGGATAAATTTCTGGGCCCCTCAGTTGGGCGTCTGACTCTTGATTTCGGCGCAGATCACGATGTCATGGTGGTGAGATCCAGCCGCACATGGAGCTAACTTTGGGCTCCGTGTTCAGCGGGGAATCGGCTTGGGCTTCTCCCTCTCCCTCTTCCTCTGCCCCTGCCCCACTCATGCTCTCTCTTTCCATCTCTTAAATAAATACATATCAAAAAATAAATAAAACTGGGATAATTTTCAAAGTAGCCTACCTTATTAAAGTTTACTTATTTTTTGTTTTTAAATTTTGTTTCCAGTTTTATTGAGCTGTAACTGATGTATAACATCTTATGAAACTTAATGAAGTATGAACAAAAACTTAAAACCATTTCTTAAATGAAGAAGTATCTTAAAGTTGGGAAGCAGGGATTTCGGTGCGGTTGTGAGGGAAAACCCACACAGCTGGAGAGAAAATGTATCTGTCTGTCTAACGTCAGTCCATTCTCACGCATTGCTTTGCCTCATACTGTCTCTCTTGGTGAGCTTGGGGAAAACCTGTCATCTTATTAGGATATTCTGGAATCTCTTGCTAGTTTCCGTATGATGTAGCAGAGGTGAAATAGTATCCGAGTACTTTTCTAGATGAGCCACAATTGGCAGAGGAAGGCCAATGTGTTTGGAGGCATGGGGGCTCATATTGCCCAAGCCACCCAGGATGTGCCAGTGATGACCAGAGGAGCTGGCTGTTGTCGCCATTGTGCAGTGAGGAAACCATGGCTTTGCCCAAGGTTACGAGTCCCTCAGGGATTAGGCTGAGAGTTGAACCTTGACTGGTGAAGCTCCAAAGCCCAGGTTCTTTTCTATCGTATCACACGACTCTTCTATCTCTTTTTTAGTCAGTCTAGGTTTAGTCTCCTGGAGCGGGAAGAAGTGACTCGACCACTCTGAGTTTCCCGTTTAACGACACCCCTTTCCAGACCCTGCCAGAGTAGCATAAAGAACTCTGCCATTCCACAGGGGCCTAATGAAAATGTGCACTTCACAAAGTTCCATCCGTCAGAGTTACTACTGCACATGTCCGGTTCAAAGTAGGGATTCTACCCCCTGGGGGACAAGAATGAGACCTCTCATTACCTTTTTTATCAAGTTGTCTTCCAATTCCAAGCTTTCGGAATCAGGTGGGTAAAGAACGCATGGGGCTATACAAACGGATAAATTATAAGCTTTCATCTGATTGGATGACGAATGTTGCTCAATGTTGTATAGCACTCCAAAAAGGTATCGCAAGAGAACAACATTTGCTCTTGGCAGCTGGGCTAAAAGCCTAAGGTCAGAAAAACACACTTTTAAATTAGGCAAGTGATTCCACTTAGGAGGTTGGAAAAACAGAGACAGGGAACAGGATACATCCTTGTATATCTAGCACACAACCCGCTCTAGCAGCGTTCCAGGCATGGATGTACACAAAATTGTTGCACTGAATTCAGTTCCTGAGCCAGATACACACTTGCCTGGTTGGTTAAATGTCTGACAGACTTTTAAGGTCATAGCCCTGGCAGTTGTTGCTCTTGATCTGTCTTGGACCAGGGAATTTTGTCTACCAGTTTCATGGATCCAGAAGGTGTAAAACGGCCAAGGAGTCCAGATTAATAAGATCAGGAGAAGAACAATAATAGCCCTAAAGTGTGCCTCTATTCTGAGCTGGCCCCCTTGGGCGTGAAGAATTGAAACTCTTTGGCGTTGGTCATGATTATAGTGGGCAAAGCTGCAAAATGTAAGCCAATGTTTTCCTCATAGTATGTTGGGTGTTATTTCGAGATGTGACCAGAGTAGAGTAATTATGCATCGTTACCTCCGGGCTGCCGTTATCATCTCCTCTTTGTTGCCTTGATCAATAACACCGAGCCATTTGTCATAGAGATCAGATAAAAATATACTTCCTTGGATATTTCTCAGAAAGTCCTTAGGGAGATAAAAAAAAAACATGTGTATATATTATAGAAAATATGTATTGGAAATATTCTAGAGAAAATATGTAGTTAAAAAATTCAGTTCAGCCCCCACCTCCTTCACAGATACCCAAACTGGGACCCACACGGAGCTCGGCTCTGACTCTCCATTGACTTGCACACGCAGGAGCAGGTGCTTGGATTTTCTCCCGCTAAAACTTAGAGGCATAAAAGCAGAGCTTAGCCTGTGGTGGAAATGAAGATAAAGCTCCCTTGTATCATCTGGAACTTATTTTGTATGTGTGCTTTTTTTGCAAAGTACCACAAACTGACAGGGTCTGGCTATAGACCATCCTAAATCCTATTAGCTTTTTGGACAGAAATACACATACCCATGTTGCTTGTTTTAGGCACAGTGCTAGCTCTTAATTCTAGCAAGAAAAGGCCTGAAACAATCAAAACACAAACAGGTGGGCTCTTGCACACATATTAGGAAAGAACTAGGTCTTCTCACTCGGGGTATGCGTGCTCCCTGGAAGAAAGCTACTCTCACAATTGCTTCATTCTTCCTTTTCTTAACTGTCTAAAAGTCGAGAGTCTAATGGCAGACTCACTGTGGTCCTGAGGATAGATTCATTTCTAGTTTAGGACAATTGTCCAGTTAGTTTGCCATGATATTTTCAAGGCCAAGGTTGCAGAGTCTCATTCTCCACCAAGATCCGTCAACTTCAAGAAGAGAAAAGTTTAGAAATGTCTAAGCACTCTCCCCACAAGTGCTCACCCTCTTCCTAGTCGGTGCTTATAACACGGAATCAGGAAAGAACCTCCTAACTCTTGCTAGAAAATGGATTCCATGTGTACACCTTACAGAGGGCAACACTCATCTTGCTACCTAGTGTATTATCATTCCTCTCCTGTCTCCTGATGCCTATATGTATATTACTACTGGATATCACTATGACCGCAGTGTAGGAGTGGTTACCTAAGTCATTTCTGGACTTTGCTATTGATCACATCTTCGAACATTAACGGGGGACAAGGGAAGACCAAATGTGATTGAGATTCTACGACTGTAGTCATTACTACGTTAACATAGGGTTGTTCAGAGCTGTACATAAGTGCCAAGGTGGATGGATTAAATTCTTTCCCTGTTCTATTTCTTTTGGAAAGTTTGCCTTCATTAGGAGGGTGGTGAGGATGTTTGCATGGGTAAACTGTGTGTATGTATCGGTGCGTATTTTGAAATTTATTATCATGACTAGTAGTCATTTCAGTATTAGTATTTTGCATGGAGTCTTTAGGAGTGAAAGTGGGGAGGGCGGTGTGTAGTGAAAACAAAGTATTTCTAATACATGAGGCTTTTAACTCCTAAAGTAGCTTCGTTAAATTTTGATTTTCTCAAGGGTTTATTAGCTTGTCAGGTTCTTAATCTATTATGCCCTTTATGGTTCTTGAGGAGTCTCGTTGAAGGACTAAAGTGTGCCTCATAGCTTCAGTTACTCGTGTGTGGATAATGGTAGAACCTTCCCTACCTTTAAGACGGATGCGACCACATAAACAGATTCGCTGTACGGGTTCACTTTGACCCCAGAATTTAGTTTCTCCTTTAGGACCATGCAGGATTTTATATTGGCTGATTTGCTGAATATGCCTTCTGTGAGGGGCCCTTTTTGATTAATAAAGGAAAGCATATCCTGTAGGAAGAAAAGAAAAGTATATGGCATCTCATATCCACAAACGCAGAGCACAAGCTTGCCTGCATTTTGAAAGAGCACGGGAATATAATGGTACACTGTTTTAGAGTGGGAAGGAGTAAAGTCAATTTAGATTGGTTTCTTTTTTTCAGTGTCTTTCTATATAGTTTTCACCCAAATATCCATTTTACAATCATACAGTGAAACAGTTTAAAAACTTCTTTTAATCAGATTTTCCTGTCCACTGAGTTTCCACTTTTAAATCAAACTTCTCCGCTTCAAGGCCTTTGGGGAATCACGGTCTGTTTCCTAATTTAGCATTTCTTTCTCATTATTCCCTACATAGATGCTCTTCCCCAAGTATGGAAGTCTATTTAGGGAATACTCATTTCCCATTTGTTTATTTCTCTTTAAGTGACTGTATACTCCTTTCCTACTTGTTCTATTTCCTTCCCTCTTTTAAAGTCAGGCTCAGAAACTCTCTTCTCCTTCTCTGATTACCCTCCCTTCTCATGAGTCTTTCATTGTCTTTTGCTGTAACTTCATGTCCTTTCCCTGCTGTGTAGAAACTTAATAAGGGCTGGACTCAGGGAATCCAATGGATCTGAAGTCTATTATGCTACTTATCTATTGTGTGAGCTGGGGCACATGCATCCTGTACTGAGGCTTTTCTGATTCCTTTAGGCAGTGCGGAGGATGATAATCCTAGCTAGCCCCTAAATTTCCTGTGATGCAAGGACCTGGGGTAGTAGCTAGCAGGTAACATGCTAGCTAAAATGATACATTTCTTCATAGCTAGCAGAACGTTCCCTACATCCCGCACAGTGCTTGCAGAGACACCGAATACTCAGTGAAGGTCCACAATGACAATTCACTACAGCAGTTTGAGATAACACAGGCCAAACTCTGTGGCTTTCATTTGACATACTCTGTTAGGATTAACAGATTCCTATTTGCCAGAGGATGAGTCTATGCTTGTGTCAGATGTTTGCAGTTGTTAGACTGAGTAGACTCCGCTGAAGGAGACTTGAGACTCATGTGAGTGCAGGAAGGCAATGAAGGGAGAGTGTGAAGATGAGGTGGACTCTCAGAGACTCACATACACAGAGTCCATTTTGACTGATCTGAATAAGCCTCGGTGGGTCTTTGTGAAAACAAGACCCAGGTGGAATGGACAAGAATGTCTTTTCCTGTTGTATTTGCCTCATGACTCTGCTGGAACTAAGTCAGATTCTGTTCCTTGAAATAACAGTAACAGAGCTTCTCAGCCAAAACCAGGGGCTGTCTAATGACTACTCCATTTGAGGATAGATTTGGATGAGGACACGTGGCCTCTCAGAGTGTTCCCTCCTCAGGAGGGCTATAGAAGACCAAAGGAGATGACCTACCAGAATTGGGAAGGGAAGGTTGTCTTTATAACACATATCCATGAGCGAAACTCCAAAGAGCTGTACTGGCTTTGCGGAAGGTGGGGCTGTGCACTGGGTGTGCCTGCAAGTGCTGCAACCCCGACAAAAGGCCCTGGCTCTGAAAGAACGGCTTGTCACAGTCTTAGGGCCGGAGTCTAAGGAAGAAGAGAGAGTACTAGTAGTAGTTGTTGTTTAATACGCTGAGCCTTCATTTTCCTTTTTTTTTTTTTTTTACAGATTTTATTTACATTTTGACAGAGGGAGAGAGACAGCGAGAGAGGGAACACAAGCAGGGGGAGGGGCAGAGGGAGAAGCAGGCTTCCCTCGGAGCTGGGATCCCGTTGCGGGGCTCGATCCCAGGACCCCGGGATCAGGACCTGAGCTGAAGGCAGACGCTTAATGACTGAGCCACCCAGGCGCCCCAGACTCATCTTAATTCCTGATGACTTGTATTTTCCTAAAGATTTCCTCAAAGCAATGTGGTAAGCATCATAAAACCAAGAAATGTCAGAAATATGGAGGGATTGATGATACGTGTCTCCAGGTTCTGAATCAAAAGTCTACCTTCTACGGTGGACTGCTGCCAGGTAGCTGTGATTAGCTAGGCTCAAATCGTACTAGCTCTAGTCTCAGGGGCACTATTCCTAGTCCTATTAATGGCTTTTTGTGGATTCCATCCATCATCTTATTTAGTGTTTACCACAATTCTAATATTTAGACATTATTTTTATCCACATTTTAGAGATGTATAAACTGATGCAGAGCTGGAATAACTGGCGAAAGATAATATAGCTGGTAAATGGGGCACAGGACTTTACACTCTGGAGAGGTTTTTTGACATCAAGTCAAGTCCTTTTTTCTCAATGATGCCAGTTCTTTTCAACCCGCTTCAAAGGGCACTGGAATCCTGTGGTGCCTCAAGAGCCCCTGAGTCAAAAGAGGAGGGAGTGGAAGAAAGGCCCCTTGCTCTGGCTTCAACCAGAGCACATCTTATATACATAAATATATATATATCTTGATTACATATTTATATAGTATAAGTATCTAATTATATATATATAACTATATATATATGTATGATGTTATACCCATTTAGAATTTTGTTAGAAAAAATTCCCAAACACTGTAGCATACCATGATGAGTCCTAATGCCCTTATGATCTACACTAGAAACTTCTTGAAGTCAGACACCTCATCTTATCCTTTCTTTGGTCTCACAACAGTGTGGAACCTCCCTTGACCTGTGAGCCAGCCTTCGGAAGAAGGAGCCCATGGAAATCCTTGCCCTGGCGATGCTCTGGGCTCCAGAACAGCTCTGTCTAAGCATCTCCCATGACCCCTGGCAACCTTGCTGTCTGCTTCTCACTAAAGCCAATTAAATTACTCCCGGTACCTGCAGCCTTCTCGCTGTTACCACGACTCATTGAGTTCTCGCCCAAGAGGGAAGTGATGTCTTCTCCAAATATCCTGAGGCAATTTTCAATGAGAAATTGTACAAGACAAATCTGTAACACAAAAAGACGAGAATGGGGTGCTCTTTTCCATAGGGCATAGTTATAAATCACATTTTCTATACAGACCTTGGATCTAAGAAAAAATGGGAAGGACTTCTCAGAAAACTTCAGAGTTGATAAAAATATGTAGAAACCAGGGGCGCCTGGGTGGCTCAGTCGGTTAAGCGTCTGCGTTCGGCTCAGGTCATAATCCCAGGGTGCTGGGATCAGCCCTACATCGGGCTCCCTGCTCAGCGGGAAGCCTGCTTCTCCCTCTCCCACTCCCCCTGCTTGTGTTCCCTCTCTCGCTGTGACTCTCTCAGTCAAGTAAATAAATAAAAGTTAAAAAAAAAAAAAAAACAAAAAAACAGAAACACATAGAAACCAGAGTTCTCTCAGTAATAACTTAGAAAGAGTGATACTTTCCCGTGTACTTTGGGTACACATTTTAAAATACTGCCCATCCGTGGGCTAAAGTTATAATGCGTGGCCTACTTTAAGAGCTAACATTTTGGGATCAGTGGTTACGTCTTTAAGACTAGGATAAATTTCGGGGCCCCTCTGTTGGGCGTCTGACTCTTGATTTCGGCGCAGATCACGATCTCATGGTGGTGAGATCCAGCCCCACATGGAGCCAACTTTGGGCTCCGTGCTCAGCGGGGAATGGGCTTGGGCTTCTCCCTCTCCCTCTCCCTCTTCTTCTGCCCCTGCCCCGCTCACGCTCTCTCTTTCCCTCTCTCAAATAAATACATATCAAAATATAAATAAAACAAGGATAATTTTCAAAGTAGCCTACCTTATTAAAGTTTACTTATTTTTTGCTTTTAAATTTTGTTTCCAGTTTTACTGAGCTGTAACTGATGTATACCATCTTATGAAACTTTATAAAGTATGAACGACAACTTAAGAAAACCATTTCTTAAATGAAGAAGTATCATAAAGTTGGGAAGCAGGGATTTTGGTGGGGTTGTGAGGGAAAACCCACACAGCTGGAGAGAAAACGTATCTGTCTGTCTAACTTCAGTCCCTTCTCACGCATTGCTTTGCCTCATGCTGGCTCTCTCTGGGTGAGCTTGGGGAAGACCTGTCATCTTATTAGGATATTCTGGAATGTCTTGCTAGTTTCTATATGACGTAGCAGAGGTGAAATAGTAGCCGAGTACTTTTCTAGATGAGCCACAATTGGCAGAGGAAGGCCAATGTGTTTGGAGGCATGGGGGCTCATATTGCCCAAGCCACCCAGGATGTGCCAGTGATGACCGGAGGAGCTGGCTCTTGTCGCCATTGTGTAGTGAGGAAACCATGGCTTTGCCCAAGGTTACGAGTCCCTCAGGGATTAGGCTGAGAGTTGAACCTTGACTGGTGAAGCTCCAAAGCCCAGGTTCTTTTCTATCGTTATCACATGACTCTTCTCTCTCTCGTTTAGTCAGTCTAGTGTTTAGTCTCCTGGAGGGGGAAGAAGTGACTCGACTGCTCGGAGTTTCCCGTTTAACGACACCCCTTCCCAGACCCCGCCAGAGTAGGATAAAGAACTCTGCCACTCCACAGGGGCCTAATGAAAATGTGCACTTCACAAAGTTCCATCCGTCAGAGTTACTACTGCACATGTCCGGTTCAAAGTAGGGATTCTACACCCTGGGGGACAAAAATGAGAGCTCTCATTACCTTTCTTATCAAGTTGTCTTCCAATTCCAAGGTGCCGGAATCAGGTGGGTAAAGAATGTTTGGGGCCATACAAACGGATAAATTATAAGCTGTCATCTGATTGGATGAGGAATGTTGCTCAATGTTGTATAGCACTCCAAAAAGGTATCGCAAGAGAACAACATTTGCTCTTGGCAGCTGGGCTAAAAGCCTAAGGTCAGAAAACCACAGTTTTAAATTAGGAAAGTGATTCCACTTAGGAGGTTGGAAAAACAGAGACAGGGAACAGGATACATCCTTGTATATCTAGCACACAACCCGCTGTAGCAGAGTTCCAGGCATGAATGTAGACAAAATTGTTGCACTGAATTCAGTTCCTGAGCCAGATAAACACTTCTCTGGTTAGTTAAATGTTTGACAGACTTTTAAGGTCATACCCCTGGCAGTTGATGCTCTTGCATGTGTCTTGAACCAGGGAATTTCGTCTACAAGTTTCATGGATCCAGAAGGTGTCAAACGGCCAAGGAGTCCACATTAATAAGATCAGGAGAAGAACAATAATAGCCCTAAAGCGTGCCTCTATTCTGAAGTTGGGCCCCATGGGTGTGAAGAATTGAAACTCTTTGGCGTTGGTCATGATTATAGTGGGCAAAGCTGCAAAACGTAAGCCAATGTTTTCCTAATAGTATGTTGGGTGTATTTTGGAGATGTGACCAGAGTAGAGTAATTATGGCACCATTACCTCTGGGCTGCAGTTATCTTTTCCTCTTTGTTGCCTTGATCAATAACACCGAGCCATTTGTCATAGAGGTCAGATAAAAATATACTTCCTTGGATATTTCTTAGAAAGTCCTTAGGGAGATAAAAAAAATATATATATATCTGTATATACTATAGAAACTATGTATTGGAAATATTCCAGAGAAAATATGTAGTTAAAAAATTCAGTTCAGCCCCCACTTCCTTCACAGATACCCAAACTGGGACCCACACGGAGCTCGGCTCTGACTCTCCATTGACTTGCACACGCAGGAGCAGGTGCTTGGATTTTCTCCCGCTAAAACTTAGAGACAAAAAGCAGAGCTTAGCCTGTAGTGGAAATGAAGATAAAGCTCCCTTCTATCATCTCGAATTTATTTTGTGCGTGTGCTTTTTTTTTGCAAAGTACCACAAACTGACAGGGTCTGGCTATAGACCATCCTAAATCCTATTAGCTTCCTGGACAGAAATACACATACCCATGTTGCTTGTTTTAGACAAGGTGCTAGCTCTTAACTCTAGCAAGAAAAGGCCTGAAACAATCAAAACACAAACAGGTGGGCTCTTGCACACATATTAGGAAAGAACTAGGTCTTCTCACTCGGGGTATGCGTGCTCCCTGGAAGAAAGCTACTCTCACAATTGCTTCATTCTTCCTTTTCTTAACTGTCTAAAAGTCGAGAGTCTAATGGCAGACTCACTGTGGTCCTGAGGATAGATTCATTTCTAGTTTAGGACAATTGTCCAGTTAGGTTGCCATGATATTATCAAGGCCAAGGTTGCAGAGTCTGATTCTCCACCAAGATCCGTCAACTTCAGGAAGAGAAAACTTTAGAAATGTCTAAGCACTCTCCCCACAAGTGCTCACCCTCTTCCTAGTCGGTGCTTATAACACGGAATCAGGAAAGAACCTCCTAACTCTTGCTAGAAAATCGATTCCATGTGTGCACCTTACAGAGGGCAACACTCATCTTGCTACCTAGTGTATCATCATTCTTCTCCTGTCTCCTGATGCCTGTATGTATATTACTACTGGATATCACTATGGCCCCAGTGTAGGAGTGGTTACCTAAGTCATTTCTGGACCTTGCTATTGATCACATCTTCAAACATTAACGGGGGACAAGGGAAGAGCAAATGAGACTGAGATTCTACGACCGTAGTCATTACTACGTTAACATAGGGTTGTTCAGACCTGTACATAAGTGCCAAGGTGGATGGATTAAATTCTTTCCCTGTTCTATTTCTTTTGGAAAGTTTGCCTTCATTAGGAGGGTGGTGAGGATGTTTTCATGGGTAAACTGTGTGTATGTATCGGTGCGTATTTTGAAATTTATTATCATGACTAGTAGTCATTTCAGTATTAGTATTTTGCATGGAGTCTTCAGGAGTGAAGGTGGGGAGGGCGGTGTGTAGTCAAAACAGAAAGTATTTCTAACACATGGGGCTTTTAACTCCAAAAGTAGCTTCCTTAAATTTTGATTTTGTCAAACGTTTTTCAGCTTGTCAGGTTCTTAATCTATTATGCCCGTTATGGTTCTTGAGCAGTCATGATGAAGGACACCAATCATAGCTTCAGTTACTCGTGTGTGGATAATGCTAGGACCTTCCCTACCTTTAAGACGGATGCGACCACATGAACAGATTCGCTGTACGGGTTCACTTTGACCCCAGAATTTAGTTTCTCCTTTAGGACATGGCAGGATTTTATATTGGCTGAGTTTCTGAATATGCCTTCTGTGAGGGGCCCTTTTTGATTAATAAAGGAAAGCATAGCCTGTAGGAAGAAAAGAAAAGTATATGGCATCTCATATCCACAAACGCAGAGCATAAGCTTGCCTCCGTTTTGAAAGAGGAGGGGAATGTAATGGTACACTGTTTTAGAGCGGGAAGGACCAAAGTCAATTTAGAATGTTTTTTGTTTTTTTTTTTCAGTGTCTCTCTATATACTTTCTACCGAAATATCCATTTTACAGTCATACACTGAAACATTTTAAACACTTCTTTTAATCAGATTTTCCTTTCCATTGAGTTTCCACTCTTAAATCAAACTTCTCTGCTTCAAGGCCTTTGCGGAATCACCGTCTGTTTCCTACTTTACCATTCTTTTCTCATTATTCCCCTACGTAGATGCTCTTCCCCAAGTATGGAAGTCTATTTAGGGAATACTCATTTCCCATTTGTTTATTTCTCTTTAAGTGACTGTATACTCCTTTCCTACTTGTTCTATTTCCTTCCCTCTTTTAAAGTCAGGCTCAGAAACTCTCTTCTCCTTCTCTGATTACCCTCCCTTCTCATGAGTCTTAAATTGTCTTTTGCTCTATCTTCATGTCCTCTCTCTGCTGTGTAGAATCTTTATAAGGGCTGGACTCAGGGAATCCAACGGATCTGAAGTCTATTATGTTACTTATCTATTGTGTGAGCTGGGTCACTTACATCCTGTACTGAGGCTTCTCTGATTCGGTTAGGAAGTGTGGAGGATGATAATCCTAGCTAGCCCCTAAATTTGCTGCGATGCAAGGACCTGGGGTAGTAGCTAGCAGGTAACAAAGTAGCTAATATGATACATTTCTTCATAGCTAGGA